GGGTGGGGGGGCAGGAAAACACTGCTTTTATTATAGGATTGCATGGGAGAGCAAGAAGGGTGGGCACAGCCACCAAGTGGGCTATCGCCAAATGGCCTATTGCCCAATGAAGCGCCCTCTGTGTTCAGAGTGCTTGATTCAGAGCGATGGTCAAAGGCCGAAGAGAGAACTGCAGAGCTTATTGCCTGCATTCAGCCCAACCAGCCCTCTGAAGAGCTTCGCAATGCCGTTGCAGATTATGTGCAGCGGCTTATTGCAAAGTGCTTTCCTTGCCAGGTGCATTGCCTATATGCCTTAACGTATGAAATCTTTGTGTTGCTCACTCTTATGGTGTATGTCTTGATGGGTTTCTGGATTTAGATTGTATAACCATTGTTGTGGAGATTGTGTTGGTCCAGTAGAGAGAGACATGGAATAATGCCGCATCGTTATGCCTGGATTGTTGATATGGAATCTGGAATGTGATTTTGTGCGTAGGAATTTGTAAGTTAAGGCGTTGATAAAAAATAAAATAAAAATTCGTGAAATATGAGATGGTATGTCTTGATTGGCACTGTATGCAAACAAGAGCATTTAGTGGATAATAAGCTGATGGCAGTAAAATACTGTGTTTTCTGTGTAAGTGACCAAACAAAAAGAATATGTTTGTCTTAATTAGAATAGATTATAGACGTAAGGTTGAGTTCAAAGACATCAACAACTATGAACAATGCAGACTGGCTTGCTGGCAGGACTTGAGTATTTTTATAGTGAGAGTGATTTGGATTCATAATATCAGTTGTTTCATTGCTGCAAAAGGTATGCATCTTCAAGTTTTTAATATAATTATTTACCCATGATTGCTATGATCTACAGGTATTCACCTTTGGGTCTGTGCCACTTAAGACTTATTTACCTGACGGGGATATTGACTTAACAGCCTTCAGTAAGAATCCTAATTTAAAAGATACATGGGCTCATCAGGTTCGTGATATGCTGGAGAATGAGGAGAAGAATGAAAATGCTGAATTCCGAGTGAAGGAGGTTCAGTACATTCAGGCAGAGGTAGGTCCCATATTAATCCTTTCAATTCCTTTACATTCTGTTTATTTCTTTTGTTATCTCTGTTTCTTCATTTTATTTTAAGCTTGCTTCTACAACTAGGATGCAATTGTTTGTGTTGGGCTTGAATATATCTAGTTAGTAATGTTGACTTCAGAATTGTTATAGCAGCAGTAATATTCCATCCATGCATTTTCTTCTACTACAGGGGACTTGTAATCTTCAGTGAATATTTCAAGGTTCTGTAGTATGTTTGAAACAAGTGGGTTGTTAGCTAGACATATGCACTCTGTATTACCTCTAATTATGGGGCAATGGTGAACACTAGTAAGCTTTTCAACACATTTTCAACATTATTTTGAGGTGAAATTATATTTCACAATCTAATTTCAATGTAATTTGTTTTGATCGTTTTTGTATTTGTTTGTTTAAGAAAATGATTCCCCCGCTGAGATATGTGTCTAGAAGGCCTCCCAAAAAATCTCAATTAAAGATTTCTCAATGCCTTGTACTCTATGAAGTAATTCTTGATGATAGATGTAACTTTCTTTTTGTTTGAATACACATATACAGGTGAAGATAATAAAGTGTCTTGTGGAAAACATTGTGGTAGATATTTCATTTAAACAGCTTGGTGGACTGTGCACCCTTTGTTTCCTTGAGGAGGTTAGTGCTCTATCTGGAAAATCTTTCTTACTTCCTTTGTCCAAATATAATGATCCCTGTTGGAACACTTCTGCCACACCAAATTATTAGTGCATTATTCAGGAGTCACAAATTATTTTGATGTTTTGGTGTCATGCCCTAATCAGTAAGCAACCTCAAATTCGAAAAAAAAAAAAAAAAGTAGACCAAAAAAAGAGGCTAACAAAATGAAAAAGGTGATGGCATAAAGTACTGTACAACCATGTTATCAGCCTTCCTTAAACAACTGAAAAGTAAAACATGTATTATAATTTCAGATGGAGGAGTAGCATTTTTCTCTTGGTAACTAGAAACCAGGATACTCATTTATATATTTGTCTCTGATAGTATTCTTGCCTCTGTAGGTTGATAATTTGATAAATCAAAACCATCTATTCAAGCGTAGCATTATATTGATAAAGGCCTGGTGTTACTATGAGAGCCGAATACTTGGTGCTCACCATGGATTGATCTCCACCTATGCTTTGGAAACCTTGGTTCTATATATATTTCATGTTTTCAACAACTCCTTTGCGGGTCCTCTTGAGGTGGATTTTGGTGCTTGGTCTCACTGTCTTGCTGCATTTCCCTCTTCGTTTATCTGATTCTTTCTCTATCTACCTGTCTAGGTCCTTTATCGTTTTCTCGAGTTCTTCAGTAAGTTTGATTGGGATAATTTATGTGTTAGTCTCTGGGGTCCTGTACCTATTAGTTCACTTCCAGATGTGACAGGTATGCTTGATTGATTGAAGACTCCTTTCCATCTTCTCAATAAGTGACCCTTTCAATTTTTGTAAATATTTGTCAATCTACTGGCACCAACTATTTTAGTGAAATGTTACACAGCGGAACCTCCTCGAAAGGATGGTGGAGAGTTACTACTTAGCAAATTATTTCTTGAGGCTTGTAGTGCTGTGTATGCTGTTTTACCTGCTGGACAAGATGATCAAGGGCAACCTTTTTTGTCCAAACACTTCAATGTTATTGATCCTTTGCGTGTGAACAACAACCTGGGACGTAGTGTCAATAAAGGTACACAAATAGAACCCTTCCATGTTGTCTGCTACCAAGTTAACTGTCGTTTGAATATTTCTCCCTTTTCATTTTGAGTTGTAGATATGTTTTATTGTGCATGTGCATGACAAATGCACTTCTTTCTTCTTCTTCCCTTTGACAAGTTACTGTAGATAGCACAGAGAATCAGGACTTAATGTCTTGTCTTTTCTTTGCTGGCTTTTAATATTCATTGAAACATTATCCAACTGCAATTTTTTTTCTTTATTGATTGTGTCATTTTTTATATGGTACAAACTAGCATTACCTTTGGCACTATTTCTTCTTTATACATGTTTCTGCTGATAGTAGCGTGCAAGAGCCATAAGAGAGGTTTGTGCAGTTGTTTTGCAATTTTCTCCTAAAGGCATTTTGTACACCATGGTTTTTAGTCAAATGGATAGAAAAGGTATTGATAAAGAAAGGTACCAGAAATAAAGAGGGGGCAAAAGATGTATTTGATGTATTTCTATATTTATCTTTTTGTTTATTCCTTGCAAAAAAGGAAAAAGAAAAACATCTGTAACTATGTTTCTTTTTCTGCCTCTCTCTCTCTCTGGTTTTCAAATATATCCTAGTTATTGTTCTTTTATTGGTAGTAGGGTTAAGGCTTATAACAGGGAAATTGGGCATTCAAGTTGATATACTTACATTTTTCGTTCTAGGACTTGAAAAGGGTTCTTTGTGTTGTCAATTGCCTAAATATGCTATTAATATTGATGTGTTAATTGTTTTCCATTATTTGCTTTACCTATATACACATGTATACATATTGGTAATTTAATGTAGGTTAAGTGGTCTGGATGGTGGGAAGGGTTGCAAATTGTAATTGAGGATAACAGTGTACAGAACAAAGGGAAATGATAACATAAGTGTGCTTCTCTAAACTTCATGTGTGCATATGGGGGTTTATGTCCTTGGACGCAACAGAATTTGATTGGAATGTAAACATATAGATCAGTTCATGAATGGTTTATACTTCTTACTGATCTTTTAGCATTTAGTAACTTTTATTGTGTAATACAACCTGCATTTTCCAGGTAACTTCTTTAGGATACGCAGTGCATTTGCATTTGGAGCTAAAAGGCTAGCTAGGTTACTTGATTGCCCCAAGGAAGACTTGCGTTTTGAAGTAAATCAGTTTTTTCTGAACACCTGGGAGAGACATGGTAGTGGCCATCGTCCTGATGCGCCAAGGAATGATTTGTGGCTGTTGAGATTGTCAAAGCATGATCATTTGCATGGGCCTGAGAGTCTAAGGAGCAATTCAAGCAGCAAACCTTCCAGTCATGAAGCTCAAGTTGATGTGGCTCATGGCTCATGTACTGTTCCTTTCCAGCATGATAATTATTCCATAGATAGCACATCCAAAGGTAGTGAAGTTTCAACACTTTCTCATACTCAAAGCCAAAAGACTAACGCTAACACTAACAGCACAAGGAGCACCTCTGATCAGAGTAGAAGGGAATCTACTTCCAATCAGAGCATGCATGCTGATAGAAGTCAGAGAAATGAGAAACCCGACAACTTCGTCACTGATTTTCAGGGAAGGTATCTTTTTGCTAGGACACGCTCTAGTCCTGAACTTACTGAGACATATGGCAAAATTTCTTCTCAAGGAAGGCATAACAAAGTCCAAGAAAGTGGGAAAGGCCAGTCTTCATCTGCTAGGCTAAATCATGGCAGGAGGAAAAACCTGGGATCTGATAATTTGAAAAACCATGGTATTAGCTTTTCAAGTGATGATCCTTCATCTGTTAAGCACACCATTTCCAGTCAAAGCTGCAATCCTGCTGCTGATTCAAATAGTTACCACAAAGATTCATGCTTGGATGTCGCCAGTGAAGAATTTGTTTCTGTCCTAGGGTCACAGGGGATGCATCAGGAAGAGCAAGATCTTGTGAATGTGATGGCTTCTTCTACTGGTCTAGGTTTCAATGGACAGGTTCATGTTCCACTGAATATGGCACCTGGTCACATTTCTCTTCCAATTCCACCTTCTGTTCTAGCTTCAATGGGATATGGTCAGAGAAATATGGGTGGAATGGTACCCGTAAACATTCCCTTCTTGGAGACTCCTTGGGGTTCAAATATGCAATTTCCTCAAGGTTTGGTTCCATCACCATTAGCCCATTATCTTCCTGGCATTGAATTGACTTCAAACCAAGAAGATTCAATTCAACCTGGTAATGAGAATATTGGTCCCATGGAAATGAATGTCAGGGAACCTGATCATGATTTCTGGCATGAGCAGGAGAGGGGCTCCATTAGTGGTTTTGATATAGAAAATGGAAGTTTTGAGATGCATCAATTAGATGATCCGCAGCCTAGTTCATCTAGTTATAAATTTGTTTCATCATCTCGAAGAGGTGGCTCTGGCAACTCTTTGAGAGCTCACCAGAAGCTCACCAGAGAAACCCGAGGGCCAGCTAGGGAAGAATCTATAGGTGCTTTAACATATCAAGAAAACAGAGGCACTGAAGAATACTTTGATGACAGAAGTGCATGTTCAAGGTCCTTTACTACGGTGAATATTAGTCCCTTGAGAAGTAAAACCTCATCTGAGAGTTCGTGGGAAGGATCAGCAAAGTTGTCAAAGCCTGTTAAGGAAAAAAGAGGTAGGAAAACGGTTTCTTCTGCAGTGCAGTCTTCTGTTTATGGAAAAGGTAAGAGTGCCTCTGAACATTCTTCCAATCTGACAGATGATGACAATAAAGAATGGAATGTGCCATCAACAATGGGCCTTGAACCTGAAAGAAGCATAGGATCCCAAACTGAATCTTCTGCTGCTTTGCATGTTTCAAGGCATCAAGTACCTGGATATGAAAGAGCACAGCCAAGTGAATCTGATTCATTGATACCAATTGCTCCAGTGCTCTTAGGTCATGGTTCACGGCAAAGATCTGCTGATAACTCAGGGTCAGGGACTGTTCACTATACATTTTATCCTGCAGGGCCACCAGTTCCATTTATTACAATGCTTCCACTGTACAACTTCCCAACTGAGACAGGAACTTCTGGTGCGTCAACTAGCCAATTTGACAGTGAAGAGGGCCTTGATAACAGTGATTTTGGTCAAAATTTTGATTCATCTGAAGGAATTGATCTATCTGAGGCTTCAAGTACCTCTAGTTCTATGAGAATGGCTACATCTGTTAAGCCATTGGAACAGAAACCTGACAATGCTGCTTCTGTTAAGCCATTGGAACACGAATCTGACATTCTTAATAGTGATTTTGCTAGCCACTGGCAGAACTTGCAGTTTGGGCGTTTATGCGAAAACACACGAAATCCTGCGCCTGTGATTTATCCATCACCTGTTATGGTGCCGCCTGTATATTTACAGGGCCGTTTTCCATGGGATTGTTCTGGGAGACCAGTTTCAACTAACACAAATAATTTTACTCAGCTTAGTATTGTTCCAGTTGCTCTGCCACAGTCTGCATCTAATAGACCTGCTGGTGTCTATCAGCATTATATTGATGAAATGCCTAGATATCGAGGTGGAACTGGGACCTACTTGCCGAATCCAGTAAGATTACTTGACCAGCTTTATGTTAGGCAGAGAGTTGCAACCGTCATTCAGTTGTAATATTTTTTATGTAATTATGTTTGCATGGATGCTTTGCACTTCTCTTGCCATGTTTTCTTGAACTGTAGACCCTTCTAGTTCTCCATTTAGACAATCTTTTCCCCAGTAATGACAGCTCATTTGATGAGCTTATAGTTTTCTTTTCCATGTGCTTTTTATTTGTGGTCAGAGTAATTTGGTTCTGGTTGCATATTATTGGAAAACCATTCACTTTTATTAAACCTGGATGTGGAAAATATGTGCTGTGATTGTTTGATTCTAACCTGGTTTGGAAAGTTGGCATTTTTTTGGGTTAAAATAATTTGATTTTGCTGTCATATTCAAATAGTTTTGAATTATGCAGCATTTTGTACACTTCAAATGTATAATTTTTTACTGTTAAGTTCTTACTGCAGAAGGTTGCTGTCCGAGACCGGCATGCTTCAAATATGAGAAAGGGAAATCACAACTACAATAGAAGTGACCATCATGGTGATAGGGAAGTGAGCTGGAACACTAATTCTAGAGCACGAGCTGCTGGGCGCGGCAACAATCGCAGCCATGCTGAGAAGTCTAATACAAGGCCAGACCGGTTGGCCTGTGAGAGTCAAGCTGAGAGGACATGGGGCTCACATAGACATGATATGTTCCCTTCATGCCAGTCTCAGAATGGTCCAATCCGCTCAAACACGACTCAGAGTGCTTCCAGAAATGTGGCATATGGCATGTATCCATTACCATCCTTGAATCCTGGAGTGTCATCAAATGGACCTACCATTCCTTCTGTTTGTCATGCTGTATCCTTATGATCATAATACTGGCTATGGTTCTGCAGGGCATCTTGAGCTTGGGTTGGTTGGGCCAGTAGGTTTCTCAGGTGCAAATGAGACCTTGCATTTAAATGAGTTGAGTCGATCAAGTGGGGGATTTGAGGACCAAAGGTTTCATGGCAGCTCTGCTCATCAGCCATCACCGGATCAGCCTTCTTCACCCCATGTCCAGACGTAGTTACACTGTTTATTTCTTGAAGTCAGGTATAGAAGGGCAAGATTTCAGAATTGCTGTGTGTTAAAGGCAAGTTGGTGCAAGGGTGCGGTGTATTATAATAGTACAAGTGTTCCTAATGCAATGTGGTTAGCGGTCTAGTCCATATTATAAATTATTATATGTGACGTAACAAGCTAATTTCAGGATTTGATTTATTGTGTTAACAGGGAGATTTGACTTTCGTTGCAAAATCTATGGCCCAGAGGAATCAGGTATTATCAATCAAAGGATGACAATCCCCCCTTGTGCGTTTCCAAACCAGGGTGAAAACGATGGTGGGAGAAACGATGAAGAGAAAACCTTCAGCTACAAGGTTTTCCATTCTCACCTTATTGATAATGGTTTCTTGTCATCATTATCTCAAGGTCGCACTTCTTGATGGCTTGTGCTTGTTTGTACACTAGAAGTCATTATCTAACCTGTCCAGCTTACAAGAATCAACAGATTGGCAGGTAATGGGATTCAGGCTGTGATTGGTTCCTTTTTAAAATATATTTTAGGGTTCAACACCATGTAACTCCACTGATGTAGAAGCTCGGAGATTTAGAATCTAGAACCTTATCATGTTCTAAAAAACGTTTCTCGGGATCTTCTTCCACGATGTATTAGGGATTTTGATTCATGAGTTCGGTGTAACAGCTGAACTATACTCGTTTCAAAAAGTACGGTGTAGTAATACTACCCCCAAAGATGGGGTGAAAATGCACGATGCTCTCAGGTTTCCAATGATGATTGTTCATGAAAGCTTCTGTTCTTTTTATGGTCAATACTGTTAAGTTTCCAGTGATTTTATTAAGGATTTTTTTTAAAAAAATTCACAATGTTGTAAATATTTTGCGACTTAATTGAGGACAAAAATGACTGGGAGACTACCGAGAATTGGTGGATAGTTGAGGCATTATTTCGAGACTTCCACATCCTTTCTTTTATACGAATATTTGCCATCCGTCTACTCGGCTTCGCTCTTTATTTCATTTCATTTTATTTGAAGAAAAAAAACAATTTTCTTTAGCTAGGCAATGTGATGATCTTCAGCATAATTTTCTATTTTGGGATATCAACAGTGCAATGTATAAACTATTGATGGATCAGTTAGCAACCTTCAAAATTTTTAAAACTCAATCCTAATTTTTCCTCGGCATAACACATCAGTCCTGCATGTTAAAAAAAACATTGCATTGAAATCCTTGGTTTGAAAAGGGCAGCGCATGTCGCATGAAAATCAATTATTATGTCTAAATCAAACCTAATTGACTTACATTGACAGCTTTAATGATTTATAAATTTATGTTTGTTGGGATGTATTTTGATAGTTTTGATGTGCTAATAAAAAATATAAAACAATATTATTTTAAAAGAGAACTAATTATAGAGCCTGCATTTGTATTATTAAATATACACTTAGATGTATATTTAACATGAAACTATCAAAAGTGACTGACTCTGAATTACAAACTATGCCTTATACTCCCCACCTTTGCATCGAATCTTCTAGGAAGCCAAGCAACTTGCACATACAATAATGCCAAAGTGACTGACTCATAATAGTTACTACCTCCACAAAAGTCAATGTAATGATGCACTCTTTTATATTTACACACAAATAATCAATATAACCCCTCTATTCTATCAACTTGTCTCCTTAGATGGTGCGTAACTTCATTCATCTTTTATACCAATCACCATAGTAACAACCTTTCCCACTAATGTCTTGATAAAGTATAACAACCAACAATTTATCTTTTCAAGTTATACAAAATAAAAATCAATTATTTTTCATTATTACTTCATTCTTTATGAGATAAGTTCATGTGACTATCTCAAGTTATAAAGTTAATAAATTTATTTAACAATATAAAACATAAATTCATTATAATATTCACTCTTTTAAGCCCTCACTCTTTTTATATTTTTCTTCCTTCCTATAAGTTATTAGCTTTAAGTATCAAAGAGTTCTTTATTATTATAAGAGACTTTTTTATATGGAATATCAAGTATAAAGACAAAGTGCACAGTCAAGTCCAGACTCTTCAATCCAAGAGATAGCCATGAAAAGTCCACATCCAACCTAAAGTTTTCGCGACCTCGTCAACAACACTGTTTATGGAAATTAAACAAAAACTAATTCATTTTCATTTCATACCTTATCACCAAAACTTCTTTTTATAGTTAGTGACTTGGATACTATAAAACACGAGAGAATAATTGATCTCCTTATCGCAAGTACTCTAGTTTCTCAATATCTCCAACAACTCTCTCATCAAATGAAAATGTTTAACAATATTGTTTTAGCAATACACAACAACTTCAGATTCTCTCGCTCCTTTTACAGGAGATGTCACACAGAGCTTAATTACATTCATTAAGTGCACATAGACAACACTAGTTCATTGAAGGAACAATATGGAACTACTTGCAAAACAATATAAGAACACTCGTACTCCAACTCTTTAAAGGAATTGTTCCTGTTACAAAAGGCATTCTTAAATTGAACACTTTAGAAGAGGCTATCATCATCAATCTTTATTTGACTCTCTCCCATATGCTTCTCATTGAAAAATACCTTAATGCGAATCAAGATTAGTAACAATACAAATTTGTAAAAATGAACATTACCTCTACCAAGTAGGAGAGTCTCCATTTTATCTTTGAGTGTTGCCCCCTTATCTCTCCAAAATTTACATCTTGATAAAGACTAACTCATACAAATACGATGGTCTTATAGATCTAATAGAGCATATACAAAACAAATCAAGCATTCTAGAACTTGTAAACTAAGACAAGAACACTAAAGGATCTCTTCGTGATTGTCTTATATTTTTTAAGCTTTTGACCACACCTCTAACCATCAAGTAGAAAGAAGTATCAGTTGCCATCAAAGAAAAAGAATTTATATGATATCCCTTCTTATAAAGAGTGGCTTTAACAATAGAAACCCCAACAAATTTTATTTATTCTATCATCATTATAACCATCACATCGATGATTATAGTGCCCTAAAAATTAGATAAAAAGATTGATCACTAAAGGTCACTTTTAATAGTTTATAAGAAAGTAGTCTTTATATATTTTTCTCGGAGTGAAAATCTATATGCTTTCAAACAAAATTTTCAGGTGTTTAACAAGAATTCTCTGTGTATTTACGATGAAATATCTATGTCTTGAAGAAAATCTTCAAATCTCAAATAAAATCTTCATGCCTTTAAATAAAATCCTTAAGTCTCTAACGAGTGAAATGTTTCTAAACAAAGTCTCCATTGTATCTCCATTTACATAAAAGAATCTTTTGAACTTTTCACTGAAAAAATTAATATTATCTCTCTAGGCAGTCTCCATGTTTTGATTTATCTTCAAGTTTTTAAGTGAAAAATCTTTATTTCTCCAAATAAAATCTGCAGGTCTGCAATGAGAATTATCCATATATTTTATAATGAAGTCTCTATGTCTTCAAATGAATTCTACATATCTCCAAAAAATTCTCCAACAAAATATCAATGTCTCCAAACAAAATATTCATGTCTTTAAATACAATCTGTAGGTTTCCAAGGAGAATTCTCCATATCTACATAATGAAATCCTTATATCCTTATGTTTTCAATAAAATATCTCCAAACAAAATTTCCATTGTATCTCCATTTACATAAAATAATCTTTTGAACTTTTCAATGAACAAATTGATATTATCTCTCCATGTGGTCTCCATGCATTTTTCTCTAAAGTTTTATTTATCTTTATATCTTGAAGTGAAAATCTCTATGCCTCCAAATAAAATCTTCAAATTTCCAACGATAATTTTTCATGCCTATAATAAAATCTTTATGTCTTCAATAAAATGTCTCTAAATAAAGTCTTAATGTATTCGATAAAGTCTCAATGTTCCCAAATAAAATCTGAATGCCTCTAACAAGAACTTTTCATATCTCCACAATAAAGTCTTTATATTTGATATATCTAATGAAATGTCTTTAAACAAAGTTTTCATCTTTCCATGATAATATCTCCAAGAGAAATCTTTATGCATTCAATGGAATCCTTATATCTCCAATGAAATCTTCATGTCTTTAATGGATTCTCTATATCTCCATATCTCTTATGGAATTTGTATATCTCCAATAAAAACTCTATGTCTTCATGTAATATATTCATATATAATGCTTAGCCACGTCACAAAAACATTCTCTACTTATGAAGATTTTCTTTGACGAAAAAACCATAATGGACACTAGTAGTGTTGTACAACTTGATGAAGATAAATTCATGATTCTTTAAAATTACACACAAATTCAAATACTAGAGGGAAAATGGTGATGCAAAAAAAAAAGAAGACCACCCTTGCCTTTTTTGTCAACCCAAATAATAAGAGATAGGATAATAACCCACAGACCAAGCTAAATCAAAATAAAAATGGCAACGAAGAGTTGACACGCGAGAGAGAAGAAAAGAAGAAATAATTGCATAGATTTCAAGTAATGGGAGAGAGAAGAAAGAAAGAAAGAAAGGGATATTGGTGACATATCAAAACTTTAATCGATATATGTATTGTACCATTAACAAAATCTTGACAAGAAGAATCTAATTACACCAAGAAAGCCTGTCATCAAAGCCAAAGGTGAGTAATGCATGTTTCTCAAAGACATCTGGGTATGGCTCACATATTGGCGCATGTATTATATGTGCTAACCAAGATTCTTTTTCCCTCCCTTTTAGTCTTTTCATTTCAATCCCCAGTCCTTATATAATTCTCTAGTTTAGTCTCCATAATTGAATTAAAAGGAGAAGAGAGAATAAAGGAATGACAATGAATCCATACTATTCAATTTATCCAATTATTTTGCACTCAAGCCCTTTTAGCCAAGGGACTGCTCTCCAACCCAAATGGACTCCCTCTCAATCATTATCAAGCCCTCAACCACAAACTAGTCCTTGCCCCAACCAACTTGAAACCAAATCCCATGTAAATTCCAAGAAACCAAGCAATTAGAACACACCCCAATGCAAAAGTACTACATATAAGAAAATCAGTATGACAATGCATTCTCGTATACTTACACATAAATTGTTAATGGGACGCCTAACTTTCTCTGTCTCACCAATAACTATCTCCTACTAACTTGTCTCCTCATAAAGCGCCTACATTCACTCACATTTTATACCAATCACTCTTGAGCATGAACTTTTCCTATCAATGCTATAAAAAAACACAACTCATCTATTTAGATTACTTGCATGGAAAAACAATTATTTTACATCTTTACTCAATTATTTTACATCTTTACTTTATTCTTCACGAGATAAACTTGGGTCAATAAGTAAAGAAATTCATTCAACCAGTTCATTCAACAATAGAATATAAATTTATTATAATATTCACTCTTTTATGCTCTTGCTTATTTAGTTATATTTTTTTTTCTAACAAGTTATTAACTGAAGTATCAAAGGATCCTCCATTTTAATAAAATAAAAAACTTATTTTGCAAGAATATCAAGCTAAGAGACAGCTTATATTCAAGCTAGAATTTTCATCTCAAAACATAGTCTTAAAAAGCTCAAATCCAATATAAAGGTTGTACTAAGCCAAAAATCATACGAGAATTAACTTGTAAATTGCAAGTTCACCCATCTATTTCTTAGATGAACAAGACCTATCACGATCTGACAGGGTAATGGAAACGTTGGCGGGTTATGGTTAATGATTTGAAGGAATGTTCTGCACCTAGGGAAGCACACCAAGATAGGCAAGGTCTTGAAGGCAAAAATCTTGGCTGGAAGAGTCGGGGTGCGAGGTGCAGTCATTCAATTTTCCAC